AGGACGGATGTCTAGGGAAACAACAGCCAGTGTCGTATGAGGACGGGTGTCTAGGGAGACAACATCAGAGTCGTATGATGACGGGTGTCTAGGGAGACAACAGCCAGGGTCGTATGAGAACCGATGTCTAGAGAGACAACAGCCAGGTTCGTATGATGACGGATGTCTAGGGAGACAACAGCCATGGTCGTATGAGGACAGGTGTCTAGAGACACAACAGCCAGGGTCGTATGACAGGTGTCTAGAGAGACAACACCCAGCGTCGTATGGGGACGGGTGTCTAGGGAGGCAACAGCCAGGGTTGTATGAGGACGGGTGTCTAGGGAGACAATAGCCATAGTCGTATGAAGACGGGTGTCTAGGGAGACAACAGCCAGTGTCGTATGAGAACGGGTGTCTAGGGAGACAACAGCCAGAGTCGCACGAGGACGGGTGTCTGGGGAGACAACAGCCAGGGTCGTATGAGGACGGGTGTCTAGTCATCGCCTTATACAGAAAGTAGATAGAAAAGAAAAAAGATGCATGTGGGAAACTTAAAGAATCCCAAGTGTTGCAATGGAAAAATGCAGCAGATCAATTGTGGAGGGGGGGGGGGGGGGGGGGGGGGGGGGGGGGGGGGGGGGGTACACTAGTCAACTGGGACGAAACCACCTCGATCCTACAGGGGGCTGAATAATCAATACACCGGTGTCTCATATGAAAAGGTCATTAAACATCATGTTTCCTTGCCTAAGCCATAATCAAGGCTGTTCAGTGTGCGATATTTGGACCAAAAGGCTTTTGCGGATTTCCCTGCAGAAGTTTTTTGTTAAAGGAAAATTAAACTACGCAAATTGGTGTGATGCATCCATTACATTTAACTTCTGACAGGAATATTAAAAAATAAAAAAGATTGATATATGTAATATCGATGTTTTACTTTATACACAAACAATGTACGTAATAAACGTGTCGCTGCGTTTCAGTTACAGGTAGTGTGTAGATCCAGCCCCCCCCCCCTTTGTTTAAGGGTTTTATTCGCACACATGTAGATCCAGCTGGTGTCCCCCATCCCCTCCCACGGTTCTGTTTGATATATGTATATATGTATTTTGTATTTCTGGTCGGACATGTATCATTGCACCAAAATACGTCCCTACAATTTCCCACTACACGGCGTCAGAGGCGACTAATATGGCCCCCTGTAGCATCGAGGTTTCTCGTCGATTTGATTTTAACTTTTTTTTTTTCATTTACAGTATGAATTAAAGCAAAACACAACTGTTGAAATTGGATTCGGAAACAAGTTTTAGAACTTATGTAGATCCATCTCTAGTGGAAAAATACATATATGAGATTTGAGGACCACATGTTTTATGACTATTATATTTGAGAACGAAATATGCAGTATACGAGTAAAAACGGAAAATAGGGAAGGATATGATAGGAAAGAGGGGAGAGAGAATTGCTCAGATTAACCCTGTATTAAGTGATTATAAACAGTTACGTACATGAAGAATGGCAATGTAAACGACAAGTATATATTGGAAAAGAAGAAAAACTCATTCAAATCTTCGAGAGCTGATAATGAAATTTCGAGAACAGGAGAAAATTAATGCGTTTTCTTCATCTGACAACTCATCATCGCCAAACAGCAGTAATTTACTTAAAATTGGACGATTTATCTCTGTAAAGACACGTACACGGAGTTGTGCAAAACGGCGTCAGTGTAACAGATAATGTTCATTTGTCTCGCTATTTTCCATACATGAACACAAAGGGCTATCAATAAGATTTCTACGATGCAAGTTAAATTTTAGGAAACTGCACTCCATTGTAAGTCTAGCTGTCGTCGATTTCGTCTGCTTTTGAGAAATCGAAGAAACAAAATTGTATTTGCTAAATTTGGTTATAACAGGAAACAACTACAAGAGTACGCGTACACACGTCATCATTTGAGCACACCCATTAAAACTATAACACTGGAGGAAGTGATTAACAATTATCAGAATGAGAAAAGTGCATCAATAATTGATTAGAGAGATTTTAGATGATGATTACTTCTGCAATCGATAAATTTAATTATAATTCCTGTCAATAACTGTTAAATTACAACATTAGTGCGAAATTAGATACAAATCAAGACATTAGAATCACACACCAGTAATACGAGCAGGCAAAACCGCAGAAATAGGCAGCTTATCTATTTAAAACTCATTCAAGACCGTGTTTTTCTCTGAGTAGGACTGAAGTGTGTGGCTTCTAATCTGGTAACCATAGCGATACATGAGGATTGCGTGATTCGTACAGGTGCTCTTGATTTTTGTAGAACATGCAATAACCATGTACCATTGAATTGAATCAAAATAGCAATTTTGTGTTAAATTGTAATATAAATGCATTCAGTGATATACCCAAAAAGTCGTGCTTATGTAATGTAAGTCATAGGCTCCTAATGTCTCTGTATATGTTATTTTTTGTGTAAGTACTTAAATTCGCACACATGGACGAATTATCCGTTTATTTGCAGACGACACTATTGCATATCTAGTTATCAAGTCAAACAGTGATGCTGAAACACTTCAAAAAGATCTTGACAAACTAGCGCTCTGGGAAAATACATGGAAAATGATCTTCCACCCGAACAAATGCAATGTGTTGTCGGTGACTAAAAACAAAACTCCAATAGTCCATAATTATACTTTACATGGACACATACTGGAACATCTTAGACAGGCCAAGTATCTGGGTGTAACACTATCATCTGACCTTAAATGGGATTCACATATAAATACTATCTGCCCAAAAGCAAATTCTACGCTAGGCTTTTTAAGACGAAATCTTAAAATTGGCTCAACATCAGCCAAAGTACAGGCATACAAATCATTAGTTCGACCATCACTTGAGTATGCATGTACAGTATGGGACCCTCACACCCAAACAAATATTGACAAGTTGGAAATGGTCCAGCGAAGGGCAGTGCGATATGTGCGCAATAAGCACAAGTACAACCATCGAACCTCCAGTGTGTCAGAAATGTTGGACCACCTAAAGCTGCGCCCTCTAGCAGATAGACGTAGAGATGCTCGTCTGACCATGATTCATAACATTGTAAACCAGAAAGTCGCTGTCGTAAAATCAGACAGATTAATCCCTACAGTTAGAAAATCGCGAACAAACCACCAGTTTTCGTATCAAATTCCCCACTCAAAAACCCAGACCAGAAAGACATCATTCTTCCCTCGAACTATACCCGAGTGGAATAAACTCCCACCTGACATTATTTCGTGCCCCACAACGGAATTATTCAAATCAGCCCTCTACCGTCACCTTTCAAACGCAAATTAGACCATCTCGTATCTTTTAAAAACAATATCTTTCCATGTCTCGTCTGACATTTTATCTTCAAATTGTTGAAGTTGGTCAGTACCATTTAGAAGTAGAAGGACGTTTTTGTTATATGTATACTATATAATAGAACTCGTTATACTGACAGAATTTGTCCGGTGACTTTTTGGCGTTATAAATGGGTTTGGCGATAAAGTGAGGAATGTAGAAAGACATTATTAAGAAAACAAGAAAAGGGATATTGGAATCTGTTGGAGTTAAACAAAGTGACAAATGAAACGAGGGGCAGTATATCGAAGTTTTGCAGTGTTTATGCTGGAATGAACAGCATTAGCAGGATCTTTCTGCGGGGATGGTTTTTTAGCGAGTCGCGGGTCAATAACGTTATAGCGAAATTATAATCCGCAAAATATTATGACAAATGAGAAATTGAGCGGTGATTATAAAGTTTATAACCGTAATGCCGTCAAGAAATAGGAACCATGTGGATAAAACAATGACTATACACCTGGAAATATATTATATCACACATCTAATAGTTTTGATGAAATTAAAAAAAAAAAAAACAACACTTAATTGTTGTTGCTCAATATGCTGTTATAAAGCCTATTCGTTTGAATTTTTGACACCTTACATGCCCAGTTACCCACCTCTGTGTTAAAATACCGCAAAAATTAAATTCTTTTCTAATTTTGGATCAAAATAGTCGCGCCTCGACTTGATCGTCATTTTGAACTTTTTAACAAATAGGTGTACACACCCTATAGCAGAATCATTATCCTGTTATGGTGAAACTCGTGCATGATTTACAACTACGCTTTGCCGATTACTTGTATGATAAAAAAGTGAGACCACATTGTTTGCAAACTTGAGAATATGTTTCGAAACTTACGATGGTTCCTTGGCAGGCATGACGGGAAGATAAGAGTAAAATGCCATTATTTATTTTATTAATTTCGACATAATGTCTTCCAGTGACGTTTATAAATGAAACTATAGCGGAAGTGTAAATAAAGATAAAAATATTAATACGTCACAGTAATATGGGCAACGCCTTTAATCGTATTGTCATGTTTGTGATCAAACTTTTACAGAAAACATTTTATGATTAGTTGCGCTGATTTCAAACAAATACGATTCTATAATGAACATTCTATGAAAACTTTACTTGATACATTTTCTGTGCAATACAGGTTCTGCTCAATACAACTATGACTATTTACACTCTTTTGGTCTATAATATAATATATGATATTCTACGACCAATTCGTTCGTTATTGATGTTTTTTCGAAATCCATTACATATTTTAATCAATTTAGTTTCAGTTTGATGTGTTTACTTCACTAACTCTCTTTTTGTAGTGTTGATTGGCCCTAAATGACTAGCATTGGTCATGGGCTGTTTAACAATACAAAAACAAACAAATACAAAAACAAACAAATACAAAAAGAAAAGAAAAAAAAACATTTTCTTGTTCCATGTCAGGAAAGGTTGGAACTCTATTATTTTATTCATCTTTATTTAAACATTATATCTTCTAGTGGCGTTTATAGATGAAATTAAAGCGGAAAGTAAATTATTACGTCAAATCGACGTGAACAACACCAGTTTCAATTTCCTTCTTTTTGTATTTACACAATATGTTGATTTTATCTTTTTTCTTTATTTCCAGAGGCCTGTCTTGAACTATGCAATATTATGATCGGAAATCCTCGGCTGTGGGCGTTCTTTGCCATGCTATCACTCATTCCGACGACATTCGGTATGTCTCTTCCTTCTTCCGGGTGGTAACATAACCTGTATGATTGATCTACTGTTCATTTGATATCTATATTGTTTTAATGTTTACTGGGTGTCTGTACATGGTGTCGATTAAGGTATTTAATTAAGGCCATATGCTATCTCACAGCGTCATGTATCTCCAACATCGAATAATTCTGCACTAGGAAAGTGTTTTCTTGTTTACGGCTTAACGCAATTGCAAAAGTTCATCCCTTCAAAATGGTTCCAAGCTATGTTGAAAACGAAATGGCTGAAACGTTTTTTCTTTATATTTTATTATTATATTCGTGTATTAATTTATTATAATTTTCGGTAAATCGACAAGGAACTCCAATCAGGAATATACTGTATATAATTGACCACTGACAAGTCAGACTTATCTTCCGGTCCATTTTTCGTATACAGTGACCTTGACCTTAGGAACTCTGAAACCGCCTTTCGCACATCTACATATCACAATGTATCGCCCTGCCAGTTTTCAAAAAGATTTTTCGTTGGGATTCTGAAATAATCTCCAAAAACGAAAGAGTGAACAGAGAGACAGACAGATAATATGATATCTATAAGGCACCCGGACATTCCGGCTTAATTTCAACTCTTCTTTCTTGGAGATACAAAACAGAACATATGGACTTCCTTAATAGTAAAAACGTTGAAGGAGATAACTCGTTCATACATAATTTTTGCCATCAAGGATCTCTATCTCTTTGCACATAAAACGTTAGAAGATTCCACTGTAATTTTATTTATCATGAAATCGTTCTCATCTAAAAACTCATAGTCTTTATAAAAAAAAAACAAGTCCTCGTTCTGGTGACAAAATATCAACAACAAAAAATACAATTTAAAGAATTTTTGACAGACGTTAATCCGAACCCCGTTTTTTATTTATAACAGCATCATAGTTTTTGATTGTTTTTTTTTTCAACTTTAAGTATGAGTACACTGTATAATTTAACCCATTCATCCAATTCACTAGGTTGGAATAGTCCATTATAAAATGTCAGGAGTGAATGAGTTAATAAATACAGACAGGTCAATTTGGTCATCAGATCAATGCTGGTCTATCTGCATCGGTCGGCGTCTGAGAACGAGGGAAAAAACAACAACAACAAAAAACATTATTTCAGTGGGTGTCCCATCATGCTTTAAGTGTAAGACGTATCTATAAGTTTAATTTGATAAGAAGCCATACTTAATATCTGACAAAAGTCCGCCAGACTCTATGGTTTATGGGCTCATTGTTCCTATCAGTCCACCAACAACGAAATGTCATACGTCTATGACGTCAGCGAACGGTTGAAACTTCGCTTCAGGCTCCGGAATATCAGCAAATACCTATCCTGCTGTGTCGTTCGAAACGTCCAATTTGAGACCTGAAAACCGGAATTAACTGTATTCTCTATTATGTCGATTCCTCGTGTGAGTCGTAAGTTGTGTTTCCCAAGTAGGTCTGTCTTACATCGTCGTTATAACCGTGTTTCTTCCACGTCTGCTTATGCAAGATACACGTGGTTCATGTGAAATTGTCTACTTTTAGTTAAATATAGTTTAGCGTCCGATTCTAGCAATGGCCATATAAGGACGTGCGTGTGTGTATGCGTGTATGTGTGTAATGTAGGCGTATATGGACGCGTGTATGTGTGGATACATACGTGTTGTGTATGCAAGTGTGTTGTGCATCTGTGTCTGTATGCGTGTCTCTGTTTAATGTGTGTGTTTATGTTTGCGTGCATCTGTGTAATGTATTTGTGTGTGTACATGTATGCGTGCCTCTGTGTAATGTATGTGTGTATGTATGCGTGAATATGTGTACCGTATGATAGGTCAGTAAAACTATAGTGTGACTTTGTAAGAGTGTAATTTGTTCATGCTTAGTTCAGCCTACTGTTTGGCCTTGCATGACTATATTACCGTGTGATATACTGTGTGACCCTGCATGTAATATCCAGCCTAGTCCAATCAAACGGCACTTTGCATACAAATAAGTTAAATTCATGTGTTAGCAAACAAACTGCTTGAAGTTTTTATTTTTGAAGTGAACGTCTCGTTGAAATAGGAACATGTCACCAGCATTAATGTTCCCTTAAAACATTAACGATCCCTTTTTTGCTGATGCGAGAATGTATTAAAGGAAACAAATACCATAATCTCGTCGAGTTTGAAAAATCGTTTACGTCATAGAATTTTTATGTCTGCTACGATTTTGACAAAACATGTTGTCAAGGACACAAGCGTCTCGTTTGATCTTTGTCAAGACTACGCTTGAAACTCAAGCCTGATTATTTGAATAGACACAGTCCCGCGGTGACGTAAATGATATTGCTTTCAAAAGCAATTCCAACACGAAATGACTCGCAGCTTCACGAAATGATGCTCCATCAAAGTAATGACATTTTAGATACACTAAGTGAGACAATCATCATCAGTAGTTCTGTATACTGGAAAGTAGGGGGTTAATTGACGGAAAGAATCCTCTTCCGCGTCTCAAGCCGACAATTTGTGATACATGCTATTGTCAATACTAGTACTCAAACGATTACGACGTATTTAATGATACTATTAACAGCACAAGTTATTTTATCACACCTGTCTGACCTACTGTTAGAGGTAGTACTATTCGGCCTAATGGAAGTGAAGGAGCCTTTGTACTAAGTCTTAGTACAGCGATGGTACTGGCTTTGCTGACATTTTCTGGGTGACAATATCTTAACGTAGCCTTAAAGTATCAACACAACATGTGCAAGCCGCCTTCACGTGACCTTAACTGTCACAAGGTCACGAGACGTAGTACTGACTGAAGCATTGTTCACATGTTCTTGGGTCGTATCACGAAACCGTTCTCACGCTCAAGCATATGCTTTATGCTCAGGCCTAATTTCGTATTCCGGTTATAAACTAATTGAATAGTTATGCTTTATCAATGATATGGGGAAAACATTTGGAGCCGAAAACAATTTCTGATAATTAAATTTGACTTTTTGATCGTTTGAAACGATTTAAGTGAGTTAAAAAAAAGTAGGTTTGAGCACAAAATCCATGCTAGAGCATGAGAACAGTTTTATGAATACGAACTTGGTATACCGAAGGGAGGCAACTCTGCACCATTTCTGATAACTGTTTTTGTTTTCCTGTATAGCGGTTAATTTTCGCCCAGTCAAATTTGTTTGCCAAGTGTTAATTTCGCCATTAATAATTAATTAATATGTTTAATGCTGTTTACTTATATTCGCTGTACTTATAAATTAGTCCTCTGAAAGGCGACAATTAAACTTCAGCGAAAATTTCCCCGATATACAGTAATTGTTCCGCTTCCGCTGCATGTTTGTATCGTTCTTGATTGAAGTAGTGTACCCTACCTCTTCTGCCATATAACTAGTATAGCTTTGGCGTTGCATTTCACTCCTGTAGGTTCCTGGGAATTACGTGGCCTGCTTATCCCGCTGCATGCCGTAAGGGGTGAAAAGGGTGGAGTCCCTTCTGAATTTGGGAGGGATGGGGGGGGGGGCTGTTCTGACCTCGTATTGGCGACTTTCAGCCAACACGAGAAATGTTCTACAAGATTATAAAAAGTTAAAGTCTGTTTTTGAAACGGCAATGATCTCTATAGTTCTAGACTACCTTCAAACAGGTAGGTTGTTTCATGCATAACAACCCACACAATACGTATACTTTTCAAGTTGACAATCGCCTTTTACGTAATCCTCATTTCCGTTTCCATAGTTTTATCGAAATTTTATTGATTCCAGTAACTTTTTTCCGTATCGGTGCGCCTTTCAGAATGAAATAAAAATGTTATAGCCGGGGCAATATTGGGCATGACCAACCGGCCCTTTGTTGAATTTAGGAGGTCCGAGTTGTCTCTGCTTGGGAGATATGGAGAAGGCGGAAACAGGTCATTAACATGTAATTCGACGTTTGCGACATTTATGATCAGTTTTCTCTTTGATGTAAATGTTCCTTCTGGCTAAGACTTCTGGTCACCTCATGCTAGACCATTGTCGGACAATGTGATCGGTGGAGGTTCGTGATACGGTGTCCACGTTATGATTTCTTAGTAACATGACACTTTGAAATGGTCCCTGTCCAGCGCAAAAAACAATCTAAACACAAGAACCAAAAATGATTTCCTTCGCTTGCTATTTGACGGTAAAAGCCCTACACAAACCACAAAGATTCGCTGACTGATTTAAAATCAGCTGACTAAGACGTATTTAGGGCACTGGACGAGAAGTCGCCTCATGCAAGCGTATTCGTCTGGTTCAGTTAATAATCTTTCGTGATACCGTGGCTACATGTATGTGTGATAGGAATGACTCTTTTGATGTTTCTTATAAGCAATAATGAAAACAAATCAATGAATTAATTTCCGGATTCTAACGATTGGTTCTTTTATCATATCCGCCTTACAGATCTCTGAGGCGTCCTAGATTTTAACAATTCAAGTCGATGTCGCCGCAAATTCTAATATTAGTGATTGGGTTTCATCTTAGCAATAACAAGTTTAATCCTAGCGTCAGACAAAAAGTAGACATATACAGAGGATCAGAATGTAATCCGTGTTCGTTCAACTTGTGTGTTTCATTGGCTGTTTAAGTCACCGAAAATGCTGAGTCAGTAACATTATAGTTCGTTTGGTACATGTTCATTTCCCTGATGAATTGGCAGCTTGCGATGGTTTGGATCTGTTCTGTAAACTTTAATCTATTTTTCAATGTGTGCTTCATTACGTCTCCCTTGCCACTATGCCTCAATTTTAAGTCTATATATCAACGCTCACTTATGTAAGGAAAGCAATTGTCGTGAATTCGGTATGTGGTATTTCACACCGTCTCAAAAAGTAGACGGAACTGCTCTTAGCTCCCGAAATCAAGTAACAAGGTGGAGGAAAATCACTAACGTGTGTTTGGTTGAACGTCAAGATGTAAAGAGACCGCGCCGAAATGTCACCTCGATGTTGTCGGCGCGGTTATCGGTAACTCTCCCCAAATTTCACCCCACAATAGGTTCAGTCCCTGGACCGGGACATACCCTTCACTGACAAACCCTAAAAACGCAGCATTTGTGCGAATTGTACGCAACCCTTTAAATCGGTATTGATCGCAATTCTTAAGTCAATCCAAAAAAATATTACATTTTATGTAAAACATTTGAGGAGAGTACAACATTCTTAATTTATATAATAGGTTAATTTAATCGTAAATCTTGTCAAAATAAAGCGTACAATGTTAAATGACGCATCAAATATCTTCAACAATATCGTAACACTACTGATTTTACAAACATTGTATATTAACACACTGACGGTCAGTCTTGAAAGTAATAGTTAACTAAAAAAAATAGAATTAGTAAAATTCGTGCTTAAATCTGTTGCGATTGAAACGTAGGTTATTCAATCTGATATTGACCAATACTCCTCTATATTTTAAGATTCATATTAAAGGGTTTTACGTATCTGCCCTCTGTTTCAACGGTGGTTTAGACAATTTTGATTTTTGGTGCAGTGCAATTCTTTTTTGACTAACTGTATCTGTTACCAAATTTTAAAGATGCAATCACGTGTTTGTGTGTGTAACGTTAATCTTTTTTATACAAGTTTATCCGGCTGGATATGCACAAGAGACAACAAGGATTTTTTACAACCATTAACTTGACAATATTGAACTTATTCACTGTCGGGGCGTCAGCCTAGTGGCTGACAATGCATGTGATCTGAATATAAAGGTACATGTATTTGCCTGCGTCTAGTATATTTATATTATATGAAATACTCTTTCTGTTACAGGTTTTCGCTGTAAATGGTCGAATGAAGGATGCCAGTCAGGAGAGGAGTGCTGTAGCGGAAGTTGTGTACAATCTCATCCGGGCACTAACCCTCGATGTACGAAGTGTCCGATGCACGGAGAATGTCTGTACAGTTATCATTGCGAGAGCCGACTTATCTGTGGCTCAAAGCGCCGATGTTGCGCCGACTACTGGGAAACGTGCGCTTTAAGTAGTGATTGTTGCAACCCTAAGCAAAGGTGCATAACTGTGCGAGGTTTCGTTTACCGGAAGTGTTTGTTTGGACCGGTGAGATATCCGGGAAGCTCTGCACGTGGCTCGCGGTATCGGAAGACTTTCGTTTTTGTCCCCGTTTCGTTGATTCTGCTTTTAGCCTTTTTATATTTTTAAACTTTTGCCTTGAAACCATTATCATTACATAACCTTTTATATGAAATAAAATTCCTCTTTCGTATGCATTATTATTATTTTTTTATTAGGTCGGATTGAATCTTGCTTTGATTGTTAATTTCCATTCCATCATGTTTTCAAGAGATAATATATATGTGCACGCCCGCTACTTTTTCTATTTAATTATGCATTAAGCAATTTAACATACGATATACTTATTTTAACGTTTATCCGACCAAATATGGAAACAATTGTAGAAGTTATTTCATCGGAGAGCAAAACTAACATTTCAAATTTAGCAATGTATATTTATAAAGCAAATGAAATTAGAAATGGAGTATTATTGAATTTGAATTACATAAAAATATGTCAATTCAATGGTTCTGTGTTAAAGAAACACGACATTCAAATTTTGCGCTAATCACTGAGTAAGCTAATCACTGAGTAAGCTAATCACCTTTTGAACAACCGGGCCCTGGTGTCTAACTTACTTTCATATACCATTTTGTATATCTTTTCTCTGATTGTATCGTTTGGAAGTATTTTACTCTAGATCATTTCCTAATTGGTGTAAAATAAAAATAAAATATGTTATAGAAATATCATAACCACGTAACCATATCATCAATACACTACAGCTAATTTGATATATATTGACCTGTTTCCTTGACCTAAAAGACAGCATTATTTCTTGTATGTATAATGGCATTGCTACAATATATGTAGCATATGAACTCCGTAACACTTTAAAAATTTACATGTATAATTCAACCATAGGGCCATGAACGCCATACCATGGGGATGGAAGAACTGGACCCGATGACGGTTAGCGACGATAGACAATCAGTACATTACCAAGTCGTACGCTATTACACGTAACTAAGTCAGTGTTTGCTATGCTATTCTGTCTTTGCGTTTTGCAGAGTTATCTTCTCTTGAGAGCAGGTATTGATTGTTACGTCACTTGTTTGTGAGAGTAACGTCATCAATTTTTAAGAAAACGACGTAATTTTCTCACACAAACCAATGACGTAACAATCAATATCTGCTCACAAGAGAAGATAGCTCTGCAAAACGCAAAGACGGAATATGAACTCAGTAATACATTGAAATGTAGCCATCATAGGTAGTGAAGTAGACGTTACACCACACCAACAAATTAACCAGATTTATATCAAAAATAAAATTTGCGTCATAAGTGGGAAAATATGCAGAACGTGGTACAGTGCGAAATCTACATAGCTCTTATGTCATAAAGAAACCTTCATTGAAAAGAAAAGTTGTTAATATTAGTATTGAACCCTAAGCGAATTTGAAAGCCACTCGGGGTACACGAACATTTTACATGAACGTGGTCTTACTTTTGTGTTTGTTGTTCGGTTTGACGTCAGGTTTTACGAACACGCGTGTCTAGGACAGAAACTGCCGAAATAAAAGAGAAGAGAAATGAGATAAAGAAGAAAAAGGTATTCTAAGAGTTGCAAAGGGGCAGTAGATCAATTTCAGCTTCTTCGGGGTCCGTTAGCAGAAACACAGACGAAAACGCCCGATTCAGCACGTGGACTGTGTCTATCAAAATTATCAGGCTTTAATTTCAAGCGCAGTATTGACAAACATCAAACGAGACGCGTGTGTCCTTGACAACATGTGTTTGTCAAAATCGTAGCGACCTTGGTTGTCGTCTGTAATGATTATACGCTGTGGAATATATCTGTCGCAGTCTGGGAAGAGAATCCATTACACTCCTCACCAAGGACGAACGTTTAACACCAAGGCAAAAAGTGAAATATAACCAAGCCAGGCGCTAGGAAACACATAGGTTGTTGGAAATAGAGAAAATATAAAGGCTACATAGCCGAACACATGGAAGTGAAAATATCGACGCTTCGCCGTTAAATACTGACACAAATAATCAATTAACATAGTTCTAGTTATGCTATGCCCAATTATATCCAAAAGCTAGAGTAAGTCTAGCAGAGCGCAGAGGCATATCTCCCAAGTATCATACCTAAATGTCACACGGTTAACGGAAGTAAGAGAAGAAAAACTGAACCAGCCTCGTTGACGTTTTGAGGTAAAACAGCTTACACTGTACACGAGTACCGATCTTTTTAAGGTAAATGCTACCACTGTTTCTTCTATAATCTCGAAAAAGAGTTCGACTCAGATATTTTTGTTTTGATATCAAATATTGCTTGGAGCAACATTCCCCGTTAAGCTTTTCATAGGCCCATGTTTGAGACGCTCATTTTGATGCTGTGTACTTATAAAACCAGAAGGGCAACATTGGTAAAGCGTCGGCATAGCAAGATAAAGGTTATGAGTNCCCCCACACACCCCCACCCCCACCCAGTGTATGTTTTTTTATTTATATTTTCATACATATTTCTAAATAAAGACATCAACATTTTTTAGTAAGCAATTTCAAAGTGAATGTTATGTAATGATTTTTTAGGTATTACACATTTCGGTAATTTGCCATGCTTGCAAAATTGTTTTCTAAGGATAGTAAGTATTCAAATTTGAAATATTTTCCTTTAATGGTCCCGAGTTATCTCCCTTTTTCTTTTCATAAGGATCTGACTGTAGTTTTTAAAGTGTATTCACGTCCTGTCAATGCAAGCATTATGTGTACCAAATACCATTCAAACCGTGCTGTACTTTGGGAGTAGTAGTACGAACAATGATTCTTAACAAAGGGGCATAATTCCATATAAAATTTGGGCGGTAATTCCAATCTATGTACTTTATTTGCATCCCCTCTTTTTAAGGGTTCTGAGTTATAAGCATCATTGAAGTCAGTGCAGAACATGGGAAGAGTATGGCAAACAATTGTGTCTATACAGACAGACAGACAATCAATTAAATTCCAGCATACCCCGCCTTAATAACATTTCCTATCCAGTACTTCTATGTTATTAGATACGTTTGACATTATGTTCTAGAAGGAAACCAATGAAAAAGGGACATAACTCTGCAGAATTTTGTCAAAATTTGAACGACATGGAAACTGGGACATAACTCCACATTATAGGAAAGTATTATGCCAATTTAAGAGAGATACCATCATTCCTTTAAAAGATATACTTGGCACAAAATTCTGAAAGAGAAGTCATACAAAAAGGGCGATAACTCTTAGGGCACAACATCACAAAATAGAGAAGAAGCATGCCAGAAATCACTTCTGTAGTTTTGAAGATACGCGTGACACAATATTCTGGGCTAGAAGTTATACAAAAAGAATCATTATTCTTAGTAATTTTGTCAACATTTTACGACATATAACAAGGAAGTAGTATGCTTATTATGACATGACATTATTTCATGTACGGATAATGTATACACCATCAATAAAAAGAGTCACACAAGATATTTAAAAAAGCATCAACACAAACGTTAAAAACAAACAACTATATTTTGAAAATTATTATATGATCTGGTACTTTTCATCGCCCCTATACTTTACTGTTCGTTATTTTTTAAGCTTTACAGTTTGAAAAGGCTTTGCACAAACGTTGTTTTATTATTTATTTGAAGTGTATAAAAAACGAAATTGCAGCACAATATCAGAGATTCAGAATGTTCTTAACATTATATCTATGTTTTATACGCACTTTAATTAGAACTAGGTTAAACTTACATCAACTAAAATAAGCGGGATACCATTTTTCAGCGAATACATATCGAAACAAAGACATCACACCACACAAATGTGTCTACTAAAAACTGGTCTTGGATATGTATTGGTTTATTTAAGGATTGGTTGTCATATTTTTGACATGTATTGGTGTGTAACATACATTGGCTTACCTATATACTGAATGGTGCGCGCTAGCGCACCACGTTACATATGTAGGTAAGCCAATGTATGTTACACACCAATGCATGTCAAAAATATGACAACTGAATCGCGCACCACGTTACATATGTAGGTAAGCCAATGTATGTTACACACCATTGCATGTCAAAAATATGACAACCGTTACTTATATTTACATTTTATGTCAATCAATTTACAGTTCACGCAGAAATAAAGACATAATATTAGTCTGAACATGTTTCAACGTCAGGGTAAATCCATACAGAGAACAGCCATCAGATGACAGTGGAGCAGTGCAATCTCCAACGTTACAGTTATGGCGTCATAAACATAGCGACGTCACAATAGCCCAATGTATGTTTACGTAAATAACATACATTGGACCCGGTAGAAACATCTAGGCTCTGTGCAGTGGTAATGTAAATATTAAATTTTGGTATACCAGCTTTATTTAGACAAATAGTGGTTGGGAACTTTTTTTATGGACTTGGAATATAAAAAAAATCGTTATAGCAATGTTGCAGAAAAATATAGATATAACGAAGAAGTATCTTTAAAAGGAAAGACGACAGAGTTTTATGGTACGTGGATTTTAACGCAATCCGGAACTGTTGGTAGTTTTCTCGTTTTAAAGGGCTCACACAACTAAATCATTTGCTGTATGTCATTACTAATATTTGAAGTTCAAGACTATTGACAACTGTCAAAATTGACAGATACATACCTGACGAAGGATTCAAAAGGCACTTTTTTGGGTGAGTTTGGTGGCATATCAGAGCGCTTCAGGCGTCTGCTTTTCACAACCGGAAGTTAACAAGCCAAACCAGTGAAGTGGGACGCGAATGCCCCCTGACATTTGACCCCATATAAATCCACCATCACATTTTTAAATCTGCTAAAACAATACCCTTTTCTAAAGTTCTATATCTGTAGATTATTACCTATTTAAATTACTCAGAGGCACTATATTAACCCGGATTTTTTTAGATAGGGATTACAATCGTGAAAACTAAAACTTACCACAAAATATATCTACTGTTGAGAAGAATAAAGGGAAAAGATCGAAGTGACCTAGAACTAATGAAGATCTTACGATGGTGGGCGTCAAGATCCCTCTTAGATCTCTTTTTCAAATATATCATTGAAACCATCCGCAACGTTTAGTGCATGCCGGATATTGGTTTGGTTTGGTTTGGATTTATTCTAACAGGTAATGTCATTTAAGGACGTGCATCCATGTGTGTTGTGTGACACGGGTAGAACCGACACCGGCTATAACGGCAGTACATATATAAGAAGTCAGGAGCCTCTCGGAGGGACTCGTGAAAATGAGGATCAGAAACGCACGCGACCAAGCGAGCGAGCGACGTTGACGACGCTGGGTTTCAACTAGCAAAGAAGCGACGGCACTCCGATAGTTGAGTACCTACATCCTATATGTATCTATCTATAAGAAAAAGGAGTGCAGGTAGTGAATATTAGAAAGGTAAAACACTGTCGTTTAAATTGGTCAGGTCCGTCGAGTCAACAGAAGATGTCGCTGACTTATACAAAGGTATGTGCGTACCAGTTGAGGGCTCTAATATTTATTGTGTATGGTCAGGGGTTAGCGCGAACGCAGACCCCCACACTGAAAACTGGCGTACCCGAGTAATCCGCATTTGGGATTATCG